TCTTTAGAGTGCGACCCTCATATCTCCTTGCCATAAGTTTTCTCACTATATCAAACTCCAAAGTATAATTAACTCCTAATTATCTACATTTCATTAAAACTTTTCTTGGGGAAGAGGGAACATTTTTGAACATTTTCTTTTCATAGAATCCAGTCTTCTTTCCCTTTGTTTGACACCAATTTGGGGTAAAGAAAGAAAACTCTACTTCTTGTACAGTAAAAGGGCATTTCGTTAGACTGATTTGGCGAGTTTTCATTTAATCTCGTGTGTTTGTAGAGACTCAAGATGGTTTATCTAGGCTGGGACTAGTCAAAGTTTGTTTTCTAACCTCTTTGTCGTTGATCAAAGCATTAAAGTAATAGACAAGAATATAAATGATTTTTGATCCAGTCAGTAGCTGAGTGAGATTGTAGAAGCTGCCAATATGATAATGGTATAGGTTTGTGCCTGTAGTGGACACTATCTTTGGCTGATACAGACTTTAGCACATAAAGAGCATCAAATTTCGGCTTAGTAGGCAAAAAATTATAGAGACCTTCTGTGTTTCTATTTGTGGCTATCATAGTTCATCAGAAGTAGTTTTATTATGAGCTTCCCAGTTAACTGAGATTTTTCTCCATCATGTCTGATCTACTTGATTGTTTGTTGTTTTACATGTTGATGAAGCTTGTATTTGTTTTTGGTAATTCTGTGATACCAGATAGAAAGCAATATTGTCCGATGCCCGGATCCGGAATATGCAGAGAAGATGATTGCTGCTATTGATGCTGTACGAGTGAGAGGAGACTCTGTTGGTGGTGTTGTAACTTGCATTGTTAGAAATCTCCCACGGGTAAGCTATCTCTGTGTTTGTAACTTGGAAATGTGATATGTATATCTGCACCAACATGAAATTTCATCTCAAATTGTAAAATACATGCCTGAGACTTTGTTAATGTTTACTAGGGTCTTGGTACACCAGTCTTCGATAAACTTGAAGCTGAGCTAGCCAAAGCTTGCATGTCATTACCTGCGACAAAGGGTTTTGAGTTTGGCAGTGGCTTTGCAGGTACATTATCTTTACTTCACTGTTCCGGAGATGTAGCTTAACTTTATCACTGAAGGACTTGGCATGTTTTCTCTAATGCATTTTCCATGAGCATTGCTAGTCCTAAGCAGATAAACATTCCTCAAGATGTTCTAAGAAAGGGTGATTCTTTTCAACTGACATGAACTCCTTCAAGAATTATATTATAAAACTAGTAATATAGTAGTAATCATTTAGCTGTTGCTGTCAAATGTCCAGTTATGGACTTTTGACACGGAAAGTTCTCTGCTCTGAGTATATGATATGGGCCACTAAGTCCTATAGAAATCCAGTAGTTTCTGTACACTCATTAAGATGTTGTTTGAAGATGCAGAGAAACATCTTAAAGATTTGTGTTTTTGAATAATTAGCGTTTATGATTGTCAACAGAAAAGGAAGGATAATGCTTTTAGGTTTGAAGTAGGTAATTGTGACTTTACAGTGTTTTGGGTCCTCAAAGCATGCTGTATTCAAGTTAGGCCTAGGCTGCCTGGAGTGTGTTGGTTACTGCTCTGGCCGTAAGGAGAGGCAGACAGTTATTACTGACATTTGGTATTTTATTCACTGTCAATTGACTTTTTGGTTGGTGGGATTGCATCAGTGGTTGGTGTATCAGTTCTGAATCATTGATTTTAAGGGGTTGTTTGGTTACTAGTTAGAGTTATGCAGGGATTAGTTTTGTAGGGCTTAGTTATGTTGGAACAAATTATAAACGTAATAGTTATGCATAGATTACAATGCATGAATTATTTATTTGGATATTTGGTTTGTTGTATTAGCAATTAGTAACATTATATAATTTTTAAAATAATTTGTTTGCTTAAGATGCATGATAAATATAGTTGGCATGTGAAAGCATTGCAATCAAAGCCATAAATTTAAGTAAATTCGTCATTTCAGCTATTTTGTAATGTAGTACTAATCCTTGTATTAATTTTTCCATATCCTATCAAACTCCCTTTGTGTGCTGAATTTAATATGAAGCAACTAAATTCTACCAAATATGGTATTAGCTATTTTAGTTTTAATACCTGAATAACTCCCTTCCTAACCAGCAACCAAATGACCCCCAAGTACTTCTGACCTATTTCAATAACTTAAAAACACCATTAAATGCTACATTCTTTGATGAAAATTTAATGGAAATATTTGCTTCTGGTGAAAATAAAGGCACGTTCATGACTGGTAGCGAGCATAATGATGAATTCTATATGGATGAGCATGGCCGAATCAGGACAAGAACCAACAGATCTGGTGGAATCCAGGTACACTTTACCCAGTATTGTTTGGGTTAATAATATATTGACTGGAGCATAATTTTTAATTGTCTAACTTCTAATTTGCAGGGCGGTATATCAAATGGAGAAGTTATCAATATGAGAATAGGTTTCAAGCCAACTTCAACTATTTCTGTGAGAACTCTCTCCCTGTCTTCACTCATTTCTTATTAATCCTTTGTGATGTAGGATGATTATGTACTGCTCTAGCACCTTTGCCTTTTGATTTGTTTGGAGTAAACTACAATATACTTTTTAAACTGAACTTCTTGTTTACCATTTTCTTGCAAAATTTCTAGTCATTTCATAAGTTGATATCTGATTTGTTTTGACTAGGTCAATTATATATATTCAGGACTAAATTTAAGAAGCAGTTTAATAATCTCATTTGATTTCTCATGCAGAGGAAGCAGCAAACTGTGACAAGAGACAAACACGAAACAGAACTCATCGCTAGGGGTCGCCATGATCCTTGTGTGGTTCCCCGAGGTTTGTCTCTGAAATGATACTTGCTTGTTACCCTTTGTTTGGTAGTTCTTTGAAGTCTCTGCTATTACCTTGTCTAGTCATAGAAGCCATCTAGACTTCCCTGTGAATCTTTAGAACTCATCCCTATCCTTTATTAGGACTAGGTGAAATTTGTTAGTTTTATAACTTATTGATAAACATAACCAGAAAAAGGACATCTGATATACTGTTCGACTTCCAAGCCTGCTCTTCTTTCTATTCTGGTTTCTTTCCACCCCTGAAAATGACAATAGTTTGATGGTTGTGATGCGCTACAGCTGTTCCAATGGTTGAAGCAATGGTCGCCTTGGTGCTTGTTGATCAGTTAATGGCTCAGTATTCACAGTGTATGATGTTCCCAATCAATCCTGAACTACAGGAACCTTTGCAGTCATCACCTGAATCAGCTGAGGTTACCCTCTGAACGGAGCAAACAGACATAAACCGTCAAATAACTTCTGGATAAATTGAGAAATTTTTAGTTCTTCCTGAATAGTGTACTACTTGTGGTTTTTCTTTTTTATAGATATCTCCTGTTTGCCTCTTTATAGAGTTACAGCAATGTATAAGTTTTGTGTGATGGACTAGGCAATCTTAAGTTCTTGTTCCACATAAAACCTCATGTTGTACCTTTGTTCCTTCCCAGCCTGCTTATCTTCCGCTCGGAGTTAAGAATTTGTCATTACTTGAGTCCAGGTAAAATTGTTATGGTGATATGTATGAATATGCTAATTCATTTTGTTTAAAATTTAATGAAATAAATTTATTATGTTGCCAATTGTTTATTTGAACTTCAGGCCATATGTAAACCTCAACCGAGTATTAATGATATTCAATATAAAATAAAAGAAATAATTTTTGATACTCAACAAAAATCCAGTGTGATATTTGAAAGGGAAATTTTCAAAATGTTATTATTTTAATATTTAATTAAGACTCATTGTCAACACTTTCAATATTTATTAATAATGTCAAAATTTTAATTTGTTAGCTATCTTATTTATGTTATTATTATTTGCTTTTATTGAAAGAATACAATTGTTAAATAATAGAAAGGAGAAATTTAGGGGAGAAAATAATTTTAAAAAGGAACAATCACTAAATATTCTCATCAGTTATAAAATAAAAGATAAATGACACAGGCATCTACATAGTTGATTAAATTTCTCATTATGGATTTTCAATTGATAATAATCGATTTCTGATCAATTTATTTGGATTAAAATCATTTTTTTGTTAGAAAATTTGAAACGAAATAGGTCAAAAATCGTTGACAAGCAGTTTTCGAGAAGTAAATTTTTACTGGGAATTCGATAGAATTGATGAAATACAATTTGAATCAATTATTAGTTAATTACTACATTCTGAATGTGTTCCTAATTGATTATAAATTTACTTTGAAATTTTTTACATAATTGTACAGTGCATCTATTTACATATAAAATTGTATGTATTGTGACCAAGTTAGTAATAATGAGTTTTGGCGAATTCATTGAATTTTTTTGTTGGTTGGATATGAAGATAATAATGGATTGTTTGAGGATTGACTTTTTTCGTTAGCTAATTCTTTTTAATTATTTGAACAAAATGGTATCTCAAACATAAAAAAAAATTCCTTGGTTATTTGTTTTCTATTTTTTTGAACTATTTAGTTTTATCAAAAAGAATATCATAAATATAATGTATTTTGTAAGTGTTTGACTTGAATACAATTTGTATGTTACTTTAATATACATATATGTTGGCTGACATATTAAAAAATTGTGATATACAAAAAATAATTTTGTTCAAAACAAGATAAGAGCCCATTGTAAATAAATATTATTTTAACTTAGATACAAATGAAAAAAAATACATTTTTGTTATGTTAGGATTTTGTTGGCGGTCGTAGCTTACAATAGAAGTAGGAAAAATACAATTTTGTTCAAAGAGATGATACAAGTATCATCGTAAATATATATATAAATATAAACTAGGAAACAAAAATACTGTTTTGTAAATATAGTTTTGTTCAATTTTAATTTGAATAGTAAAGTGAACATAATATACAAAAATTGTTGGTATACAATTATGATGAAAAACATAATAACAAAGAAATATAGACTTGTTGGCGTTGAAAATTGAGTTTCAAATAAAAAGCGAGATTGAAATAAAAAAAAAGGGCACAAATGATACTCAATTCTATTGGAATACAAATGTGACTTTGTTGGTATACCATTACTATGAATACAAAATAAAAAGAAATACAAACTTGTATGTTTACAATGTAACACTGAAATACAAAATGAGCAAAATAAAAATACAAAATTTATTGTCATTTAATTTGTGTTCTGGGTGATCGATGAATGTGAGATCGGTGGCGAGAAACACCAACAACGCCAACATTCTGCCGACATTGGTTAATAGTAATGGTCAGCCTTGTATATGCTTGGATCTAGAAAATTGATGATTAAGTGGGATACCACTTATAATCCTCTTAGAGGGTCACTACAGAGGATCCTTGAGGTTTTCATTATCTAAAATACTAAATAAATAATTTTATGAAATATTTAAACAAAAATGAATTCGGTTAACAGACCTAAAAATCGAATAAAGATGCATACCTCAATCAATGGGATTCTTGTGAATATCTTAGATTCTGCATTGGAGAGTGATTTAGAGTTTATCAAATCCTAAACATGATTTCAACTACAAACAACAACTTTGAACGATTTAAAAAAAAATAAAATCATAAAACAAATCTTGAAAATGAATAAAGATGCATACCTTAATCAAATGGATTGTGTAAAGATCTTTATAACACACGTTATTCAATTTCTAAAACCAAAAAAAAAAAAAGAAAAAGGAAGAGAGAGGCGTGCTTGAAATGAATGATATAAGAAGAATTGAAAGATGAAGAGAGAGAGAGAGAGAGAGAGAGAGAAAATATTCTATTTTTATAAACATAGGAGAGAGAAATAATTGGAAAATGTTTAACTAAAGCGAGAAAATAGAAAGCAAATTAGGATACATTGTCTTTTTTAAAACAATGACATTATTGATATTTTTACTAATTATTTTAAAATATGGAGGTTTTTACTTAATATGTTTGATTTTTTGATTAGTTTACTAATTTTTCCTATTTGAAAGGAAATCTTCGAGGCATTGTGCATTTTGTTGGATCACTTATCCCATCAAAATTTTGCCTTTCTTCATAGTATGTTTCTCATCTATTTTGTGCGACCTGTTAAAAAGATATTTGGGTGTAAGAAATGATTTCATAAAATTGGAGTTAAAATTAATGACGCGAATGAACCTTTTCTTAAACAACAATGACATAGATGAGACATACTTTCAACGGATAATATAATGAGCCTTTCTTCAAAGTCCGGCGATATATTTAAGTCTCTTTCCATTAATGAACTAACTAGTTCACCTCATAAACAAAATTTAGGAGCAATTGTGATAATTCCAAAAAACTGCTAATTCTTCATTGATTTTGTGTTTGTCATTATTTCCTTGTGAAGAATAGTGGCCGAAGAAAATTATTTGTCAAAGTCCAGAATGTAAATGAGTCTATAATGTAGATGGAGTACAAACCAAAAATATAGTCCAAAATTCTAATCGAGTTGAATACGAGCTAAGAACAAAAAATATTATAAGAACAAGACAGGTCACAAACGTCATGATCGACTATAAATCATATCCATATACATCAGTCCATGAATTCTTTTTTCTCACAAACGCCTAAGAGCCCATTTGGATTATTTGAAGAAGTCATATATCATATCATATATTTATATAAATATATTTATTATCAAAACTAACCTTCCCTTTTCATGAAAAGTTGTTACTTTTATGTTAAGTTGAAACTTTTATGAAAAATTGTGATTTTTATAAAAGGTTGTGACCTTTCTGAAGGTTTCTAACTTTTCCAAAGAGTTGTGATCTTTTCGATAAGACACGATAAAGATTTGATCACACTATCCTATGTTATCTATAAATAGAGGAATTTCGTGCATGTTATAATTGTAGGTTTCTTTCCCGCTATAGGGTAGTCAAATTCAAATACATTAATTAAGTCTTTATGAAGTTTATTTCTTTCTAGAAAGTTTTCATGGAGCTTAATCTTCACTATAAGTCATATTGATTCATGTAACTATGACAATTTCTTTTTGTTACGTTGGTGACTTTTTTTAAAAATATGTTCAAGTTTCAGAAAGGATGATTGAAAATTTATCTTCTCTTTTGTCTGTGTAACGACCTATTAGTCGTTTAGAGCAGTAGAGTTTATTTCTGGTAATTACAGTCTGAGTCGACGGATCTCACGACGGACCATCGAGGGTGTGTCGTTCCAAAACACTTAGAATTCTGAAAAATTGGGTACTGAGAACAACTCTCTGAACTTCGCGACGACATGGCAGGACGGACCGCCGTGGGCACGACGGACCGTCACAGGCCCTTCAGTAAATTTCAGTCTCCGAACTCTGTGACGACTCAGCAGGACGGACCGTCGCAGGCACGACGGCCCGTCACAGACTGCGTGACCCTGATTGGGTCGGATTCCTGTTAAATATTTTAAGGGGCGTTTTGGACTATTCCTGCTTATAATTATAAAGTTAGTGGTTTAGTGTTAGTAATTTAATTACTTGGGGGTTAAAAGAGAGAACCTTGAAACAAGTAGTGGGGTATTTTATCATCTTTTATACTTAATTATATGCTAATTAGGGTAAAAGAAAGAGGGTTTGAATAAGAAAAAGAAAAAGAACAGAGAGAGAGCGAGAAACGATCGATTGAGAGAGAGGAAGAACGCAGCTTTGGGAAAGTAGATTGCTTGACTTCAATTCTTCGGTGGAGGTAGGTTATGGTTTTTATGTTATTCCATAGTAAACTCTCAATAGCGAATGATATGTATTGGGTAGTATTGTAAAACCCTTCTATATGCTTAATTGTGTGTTTGCATGATGTGACGATATAATTGTGATGAAATAAGTATGATGAAGCTATTGAATCCTAAATCCTGAAAACCTCTTGTTAATGATGATGCCTTGGTATAAAAGAAGGCTTGATGAACTAAAAGAATGAGGTTAGGGGATCGGGTGTCACGAACCGACACGTAGTATTAGGGGGATCGGGTGTCACGAACCGACACGTAGTATTAGGGAGATCGGGTGTCACGAACCGACACATAATATTAGGGGATCGGAGTGTCACGTTCCGACACAAGAGGAATAAAGAGAGGGAATCTCGAATTATGGTAATATACTCAGATTTAATGAACCTATTTCTCAAATGAGTATGGTATAGAGGCTTGCGTCCTAATGGGTGTACTTGGCGTTATTATCAATGATTCTTGTACTTGTTGTTGCTACCTGTTGAGTATTGCAGTTGAGTTTATGATATTATCTGATATATATTGTTTTCTATTTTGAGTTGACCGATGATATCTACTCAGTACTCGTGTTTTGTACTGACCTCTACTTGTATGTTTTCCTTTTGTTCATTGTGGAGTGCAGCAAACGTACCGTCGTCTTCAATTCAACCGCAACTCTAGCCAGTCTTCATCACGTCAGATTTCAGGGTGAGCTAAAGCTTCTAGCTTGGACTGGATCTTCTTCTTCATGTCTTGATGCCTTGAAGTTCTGGCATAGACTAGCTATTATTTATGTTTAGTTTCTTAGATACTCTTAGCTTTAGTAATTTGAGGATAGATGTTCTTGTGATGATGACTTCCAGATTTTGGGGATAATAATAAGTGTTTGAGTTTTAGAAGTTATTAATATATTTTTATTAATGAGTTTTAAGTCTTCTGCATTGTATTCTGTTTATTATGGTTAAATGTTGGGGTTTAGATTGGTTGGTTCGCTCACATAGGAGGATAAATGTGGGTGCCACTCACGGCTCGATTTGGATCGTGACAAACTTGGTATCAGAGCATTAGGTTCGTTGATCTCATCACACAAGAACGAGTCTAGTAGAGTCTTAAGGAACGGTAGGGGGACGCCTTTACTTTTCTTTGAGAGGCTATAAGACTTTAGGAAAATTCCATTCTTTATTTCTTTCGTGATATTACTTGGATCCAATTGGTATCTAGGTGATACAAATTGGTATCTGACCATCAGCTGGTTAGAACAAGAGCAACAACTACGCCAACACCAGCACCGGCAGGACAGGGTGCGTCTGAGCCAGCCACTGGGGTTGTAGCTCGAAGAGGAGCAGTGACAAGAGGTCGGTGGTAGAGGTTGTGGGAGGACGTCCTCTAGAGGAAGAGGACAAGCATCTAGCCCATCTGGTACTAGGGCGGTGACTCCTCCACCGACTGAGGAAGTAGTAAGAGAGGGTGAGGAAGGGGAGAATGAACAAGTGCAGAATGAGGAATTACCACCCCAACCTACCCCAGAGATGATCAATCAGGTTCTTGCTTATTTTAGCGGGTTATCTGATCAAGGCCAGACGCCTCCAGTGTTTTCTGTACCAGCACCTCAGGTTCCGGAGGTACAACATGCAGCTACTGTGGCTCCCCGCATGGATGCCTCATTGGAAATAGGCACGTTTCCTCGGTTGACTATAGGGCCTATAATGACAAGTGATCAGCATGAACTTTTCAGTAAGTTCTTGAAATTGAAACCCCCAGTCTTCAAGGGTGCTGAATCTAAGAATGCCTATGATTTTCTGGTTGATTGTCATGAGCTACTACACAAGATGGGTATAGTAGAACGATTTGGCGTTGAGTTTGTGACTTATCAATTTCAAGGGAACGCCAAAATGTGGTGGCGGTCACATGTTGAGTGTCAACCAACAGAGGCACCAGCTATGACTTGGGCATCATTCTCTAGCTTATTTATGGAGAAGTATATACCCCGTACTTTGAGGGATAGGAGGAGAGATGAGTTCTTGAGCCTAGAGCAAGGTAGGATGTCGGTTACTGCGTATGAGGCTAAGTTTCGAGCATTATCCAGGTATGCCACCCAGCTTTATTTCAGTCCACAAGAGCGGATTCACCGTTTTGTGAAGGGGTTGAGGTCAGATTTGCGGATTTCAGCCTTACAGGTAGCGGCTACAGTGAAATCCTTTCAGGAAGTGGTAGACTTCGTGATAGAGGTGGAGGGAGTGAAGCCGGATGACTTCACCTTGGCATCGACATCTAAAAGGTTTCGTAAGGGAGGTGAGTTTAATTGTTCTTACTCTAGAGGGCAGGGTTCAGGAGGTTATCCAGCCCGACCTATTCAATCTTCACTACAGGCTGTAGCTGAGGGTCCACCGCAGACCGGTCAACATTTTTTTGAGTTTGGAAGTTATCCCCGGACTCCGTCATTCTCACAAGGACCTATGTTTGAATCCAGAGAATGTTATAGATGTGGAGAGACTGGACATATTAGGAGGAATTGTCTAAAACCGAGTTACAGACCCCCAATAATCAGAGGTAGAGGTGGTCATGGAAGAGGTCGTTATTCGGAAGGACGTGGTGGCCGAGGTAATGGTGGTCACCAGAACGGCCGGGGTAACGGGCAAACTGGAACTACTGCAGCGCAACATGGTAGGGGCAACGGGTAGACAGGTGATAGGGCCCATTGTTATGCTTTCCCTGGGAGGTCTGAAGCGGAGACATCTGATGCTGTCATCACAGGTAATCTTTTGGTTTGTGATTGCATGGCTTCGGTATTGTTTGATCCTGGATCCACATTTTCTTATGTATCTTCCTCATTTTCTAATGGTCTTAATTTACATTGTGAATTGCTTGACATGCCTATTCGTGTTTCTACTCCGGTGGGTGAGTCTGTGATAGTTGAAAAGGTGTATAGGTCTTGTCTTGTGACTTTTGTGGGGAGCAATACTCATGTAGACTTGGTTATCTTAGAAATGGTTGACTTCGATGTAATCTTGGGTATGACTTGGCTTTCTCCAAATTTTGCAATCTTGGATTGTAATGCTAAAACTGTGACGTTAGCCAAGCCTGGGACAGATCCGTTAGTGTGA